AGGACTCCGCTTCCTCCTCCTCCTCTTGTGTCTCTAGCGTTCACCAAAGCGATTTCGCGTCGTTCGAGGTCTAATCCGCTCGACGATAATATTTCCTTCGTCGGGAGTCGGGTGTATCGACTACAATGCAGAATTTCTTTCATAGAACTGGATTTATCGAAGCGCTAATCTTCCAAGCGCAATTGTGATACGTACTTCGGGCGTCGTTAAATTTGTCGTATAGGCAAGTTGTTAAGGCTCTCCAGCTGGGGGTTTATTGAGCTTCGACTTTGGGAGGATTCGAACTTGTATCGAAGAAACGGCAAAAGAATGCTTTCGTTTTCTTACGGTTCTTTTTAGCACTTTAACCAACGAAAATCTATACGTCTACCGTTACAAAGCGAAAACAATTAACAGCCAAAAACCGACTATTTCCTTTCCGAACAACGACTATTACTTCTTGATTTTTTGGAAACAAATTTCTGTACGAGACACCAAAAAGATGAAGTGACCAGGTTAACGATTATTCGTTTTTTTGTTTATTTTTTTATATTTTTAATATGTTGTCCTTTTGTTCGAGAGAACTAATTCAGATCGGAACAAGGTTAATAAACTTTTCAATTCTCGATGAACAAACAATTAATTTGTTCCTCAATAGTCAAGTAAGCACCGGAAATGAAGAATTTTTATTAACAGAAAAATCTGGATTAACGTTCGCGAAATTGATGATCGAATATCCCCCGATTGGCCGTAAGAAACGATGGCTGTTTCGCAACGCCGGCGATTTTCCCAGAATCTCAAGGTCCATCGATCGAAAGAACCAATCACATCGAGGAATGGATTCCGTGAACGCCGAGCGTAGTACATATCACATCACTTGGCAGACGGACGTGTATCAAAAGACCACGTACATATAACAATCGAGCGTGACGAACAGCAACGAAGTCGTTTCCTTTCGTTAACGTCGCGATGGAAAAAGCAAAACGCGTCGTTTCGAAGGGGAGGAGGAGGGGCGGAGGCTAGAACCGCGTGTAGCGCTTCAAATTGATCGCGAAACTGCAGATGACACGGGCGTTTAATGATCGTCGCGTGTATCCCCGAGCCCGGGAACTCGTGGATCCGACGAAACGCTTGAACGGCCCCGGCGGCGAACTATTCGTCCACGTCGGATGATATCCGCAGCTCGAATTTGTTTTGCTAAGCACTAACTGAATCTAACGCGACTCGCATTAATTCACGCTGCCTTAACTTGCATCCGCGAGCGAATCTACGGACGATCTTTTTGCTTCTCCGGCGAGAGTTTTCTTTTTTCAGGAAATTGTTGGTAAATTTTTATGGTTACAAGTACAGTGGGTGATCAAATTACTTTGAACATTTCGAAATTGTCATTCGTTTGAATTAAATCTAGAATCTATGATAAAACTCTTTATTACGTTTGAAGTTAGTGGAGCTCTAACGTTTCGATGTATAGGCTTGTTCGAATGATTAACGAATGTTTTCCGTGACCAAATAAACCGCGATTATCTAGGTAACCAGATAAACCCATACCCGTTTGTCTTTGGATGGGTTTCGAAACGAATTTCTGTAGAATAGGCTGGCCTGTCTCACAAAATGCTAATATGAAACAATTGTACACGGCTTTATTTAGTGTGGGATTTGGACGAGCATCGTGAATCCAGATTAAAGTGTAATATAAACGAAAATACATTTAACTAAGAATATATAATAATACGAAATGCCTAAGACTATATATACAACTATTCTACTATATTACTACGATAACGTTCATTTCCACACTATTATTCACACTACAATCCACTCTACGACAAATCCACACTGCTTCTTTGAATCTTACTCCTTTGTCACTCGGATCTACATATGTATACTGTGCTTAGTCTTTATCAGTTTCTGCAAATTGGAACGTTCCCTGAAGTTTCCAAAATCATAGGTCATAATGGGGATCTATCCAGACACTGTTGTCGGAGGATTGAACAAAAATCTAATCAAACAAAAATTCTATAGTTTCCATAGTTCTGTGCTCGATGACTAACCCGAGAGAAGAGTCCACAACGAAAGAATTGGGCAACAATCGAACCGGTAGTTTTTTTCCTTTATGGTAAAACCTGCCCGTCGTTCAAAGTCCATTCTCGTCAGCCTCTTTCATCACGCGATCAATTTCAAGAAATTTATCTGGGTAAATCTGATTCTTGGCGGGTTCCGCCATTCACTGTGTGTCGAAATGACTCACCGCCCCCACAATCTGTCGTCGATCGCGCACAAAAACTCTTTTTAGGGGAAACTCGGTGAGAACCGTAAATTTTCCGGTGTCGCAACCGAGATCGCGAGTACCAACAGTTGCCCAGTTGTGCTAGTCGTCGTTGTGTGGTATCGTATCTTTCTTCCGAGCAGGTTCAACAACACTTGTCACGGTGGAACGCACCGGCTGCGATCGAGCAACAAAAGCGAGAGAAGACCGGTGCCCGGTTCAACAGGGCGATACGCATTCCCTCCTCTTGGACCGAGAAATAAAAAAAGAGTGGTTGGGGAGGGGGGGGGGCGAGCGGAGTAGCCGTGGTACGCAAGAAAGCGTGCTCTTGATATTAATAAACGGAGGAACGAAGATAATCCGTCGATGCGTCATAGCCCCCTCGACGCAAAATACAAAAACCTCAGAGGTTTGAAACAGGAGGCACGAACGAGCGGATTACGCGGTATTTGTATGTATATGTATACGTCCCGTGTAGCGTTGACCGGCGCGACGATCGGGATAAACGAAAGAATGGAATAAAGAGCCGAGGTAATTAATCCGATAAAACGGAATACTTTGTGCGTAACGTTGCATAATGCGAATTCCATAATCATGAGATGCGTGGCGCGCGCGCGAAACGAACGAGCGAGCGAATCTGCCGGAGGACCGTTGTTTTCCTCGTAATATGCAACTCTGTATATACCGTTGATAGCCGTGATTACGACAGACGCGTGTCGTCGGTGATTCCGTAACGAGCCTCGATGATTCCGTGTCCTCGTTTCTTGTATCACTTATTTCGTCCAATTTGGAATTCAGCATTATGGCCTTTAAACTGATGATTTCTCATTGTTGAAAAGATTTTCCTCGTAGGATATGGACCGATCGGAATTTGTTGGATAGAGGATTCGTGGAGTTGGGATCGATTGTTTACTTTACACACGCGATTCAGAGATTTACCGATCGAATCGGTGGACGGTCAACAATTGGTGACAAATGTAATCGTTGATAGAGGAGGATATAGAGGTGTATAGTAGTCTCTCTCTCTCTGTTCCCGGAGACCTAGAGTAATGGTTCGACCATTTGCCGACGCTTGAACCAGAGGTTCATCGTTTTGTTAGATGACTACTCTATCGATTCAATTACCCCGGACTGTCGAGTGATTTCTTCTTCATCGGGTCACTGTTTCAAGTGGCGCAGTCCGAAAACAGAAAAGTGTCGCTGGGGAACGATTACTTAATCGTGAGACTAAATCTTCCGTTGGATCACTGTTATCGCCAGCGGATCTACCTTTGTCACCTGGAGAGCGTGAAGAAGCGACGCGAGAAGTGAACGAATAGAGGCTAGGAGTCATAGAATTCATCCTATTCTCGAAAGCTCCAAATAGAAAAGGATTCAAGGTTTATATTTGTGACATTGATCCTTCTGTGGCTTACTTCACAAGCAACTTTGCAAGTTAGAATGTTGGGCTGCATATCTTTTAGCTAAATATGCACGTCAGAGGTGGAACTATTCTCTATTTTCAATTAGTTCATGTATGTATAATAACGAATCGCCATAACCCGTGGAATCAATAAGAACAATAACAAAACAAAACTATAACCGTCGATAGACTTTTTTCTTCGCAATTCTAATGTCCGAACACGGTCGCCGCCTACGATCGCACGCGCGCGAAAGGCCGAGACGACGAAGAGGGAGCGCGAGAATGTGGCGAGAGAGAGAGGTAAACCGCGAACGTTTTTTGCACCGCCTCTCGCAGAACGGTCGGCCAGAGAGATTCGACATCGCAGATACAGTGGAACACTTCATAAATCATTCGCGCGGACGTGGTATCCCCGCGTGCATCCGACCTGCATAACAGCCGTTGAACTTGCGCGAAGCTCGAACCGGACGTGTCTGACCATGCGTGACCAGGAACGTGGTCGATTGAACGTGGTATAGGTAGAAAATGTACACGCCTCGGCCGCTGTGCGCGGACCCGATCCGATACAATGTTTCACTCGCATCGAAAGATGCTCGATCGTCGAGGAATCGGGAGAGACGCGAGATTAGCCGTGTGTGCCGATCGCGACAGATCCAAAAGGAGGAGAAAGAAATTTATCGTTGTCTTCTGATCGGAACAACGTCAACAAGGTCAAACGATACAATACGAATAAACATAAAACGAACCTTCCGCGTATCCGTGGGCACGCGCCTCTTTCGTTTCCAACCCATGGATCTCCATTATAAATTGGATCGACGTAAGCGTGCGCGGGGCTTTACGAGCGTATTAAATCGCGTACCATATAATCGTTACTTGTAATGTTCGCGCTTGTCCGATGATATAACCGCGTTTCCGTTACTGATCCGATGCGCCGCGCTGGTGGGGTCGTTAGCGAAACGGGAAAAATGATTAACAATTTATGTAAACTTGGTGGATATTAGGCTTGTTTCCGCGAGTGATCACGCCGAAGAAACGAACCGTTGTCAGAATTTCTTGTTGTACTCGACAATGTCAGGCGGCGAATTCATTACTAGTATTTTCATAAGCAATTAGAAAATCTACTCACGTACACACACGGTGGTTTGCACGAGAATCCTAGAACTCCTTATCCCAGCGTTGTTGGTAACGAATTGAGTCCACTTGAACCGACCAATCTCGATCTCTCCCTTTCTTTTTTTCTGTCTTTCTTTCTTGCTTCTTCTCCCGTTACTGAAACAAAGGCAACGCGGGGACGCTTGTTACTTTTGCACGAGCACGCATCGATAAAGGTTCGTTCGACTTGTCTGATTCCAGATACTGGCGCGCCGTACGTATTATACAAGGACAACATGGAGAGACCCCAGGGGCAATGGGGCCCGGGGCCGGGATCTCTCCAGGACGGCGGACTGTATCCGCAACAACAACAACAACAGCAACAGCAGGGCTCCTCCTCGTCCGGCAGTCCACAGCAGGCCTGTGGTCCCCCTGTCGAGGGAGAAAGTGGCGGTCCCCCGCCTTCGTTGGCCTCACCAGTGCCCTCGCCATACCCCTCGGCACCCCCTGAGCCTCAAGCCTTAAGCCCGCCCGACGACGATATACAATCGAATCCTGCCACCTCACAGCAACAACAACAACAACAGCAGCAACAACAACAGCAACAGCAGCAACAACAACAACAACAAACGCAACAACAGGTTCAACAACAACAAACGCAACAGCAGGTACAACAACAACAACAGCAGCAACAACAAGTCCAACAGCAGCAACAACAACAACAACAACAAACACAACAGCAAGATCATTCGCCGCAACAGCAACTAACGCCACACGAGGTGGACCGTAGCGATTGCTTTCCAGGCGCTGGTGAGCTACAACAGTATCCCCAGCATTATTTCAAAGAGGCCAGGCCGCATCCATCGCCGTCCGTGCCACCTCATATGCTCACGCCCGGTGGTTTCTCAGCGTTGCACTATCTCAAGCAGCCGGGCGTGATGCTCACGTCCCTCGGCCAAGGTGACGGCGGGCCGATTCTGGACGCGCACCAATACGCCAGCCCTGGGGCACCGAACATGACGACCGGATTGCCGGACATCGTACAGCAGAGCGGCAAGTCCGGCAAAGGGGCGAACAGCGATCTACGTTTGTTCAAGTGTCTGACATGCGGGAAAGATTTCAAACAGAAATCAACGTTGTCGGTTCAGGCAGCAATCGCACCTAACCCAGCATCTACGTATACACGCGAACGAGAAGCCGTACGCGTGCGTGTACTGCGAGCGTACGTTCCGGCAGCGTGCGATCCTCAACCAGCATCTGCGCATCCACTCGGGTGAGAAGCCATACCAATGTCCGGAGTGCGGAAAACACTTCCGTCAGAAGGCGATCCTGAATCAGCACGTCCGCACACACCAAGGCGAGCATTTCTCTCTGCCTCCCAGACTCCCAGAGGGCGTCCACCACAACCACACATTTGACCCCCCACCCCCCATTTATTCACTGGTTTTTTCTTATTGTGTTTGCCATTATCACCGTCACCGCCACCATCACCATCGTCTCATCTCTTCATCGTCATCATTAGATCATATATATATATAGAGAGAGAGAAAGAGAGTTTCAGATACTGTTCGATGTCCATTACCTTTGCCACCGCTATCGTCTGTCTCTCTTTCTCTCTCTCTCTCCCTCTCTATCTCTCATTCTCTCTCTTGATCATCATTCTCCATTCATTCACAGGCAAACATTCATTTCGTACTAACAATCGTCCTCTCTGTTTCGTTTCGTTTTTTCGATCCATTTTTTCGTTCTCCACTTGTCCCTTGCTCGATCCAAGGACACGGACACACCGGTCAATCTTCGTTCCGTTCATTCACCAGATGAAAGAGAATAATAAATTCACACGAAAATTGATCGAGCATCGGCCTCGTTGCCACCAGAGAGCCAACCGAAAGAATCACAGAACGGTTGAGCTGGACGCGCGAATGTGCTGGTGAGCTGTGAGATAGAGGAGCCTCCCATCCTACAATTCCTCTTGAGATGTCCTCCGCGTACTGACCCTCTTCCAACTCTTCATCTCTACGTTGCAATACAGATTCACCGATATTAATTACGTGATCTCTGTTCTGGCATCGGCTACTAATCGACATCACCTAACTCCTCCGTAGTGTTACTTCCCTATTAAAAGCATCCCTTCGTGAAGGTGGAGGAGGTGGATCACGGATATATGATCTGTCCGCGTCCGTAAACTGTTCAACAATTCGCGATCGGTCTCTCTCTCTCTCGCGTTTCTTGCTTCAGTAACATTGGAATGTAGCAGACGAACAGGACTGTTGCGTTCTTCGAAAACGGAACATCTAACTTTTTCCAATCTACGGTAAATCATTCATGAGCATTCCAAGACTTCTCAGCATTGAGTGTTCAAACGTCATACCCACCACTGGGCGCTTGTTTGGTTCCACAGGAGACCCTGCCCTCTAGTGGTGGTGATGACGTCCGAACATCCAGTGCCGAGAGGAACCTTCGAACACTGATCGATGATTTACTGTATATTCCAATGTTCTTCCGGTATATTCTCTTTACTGATCCGGGGTTTCACCACACGCGGGTACCGTAGTCCAGGCGAACTAACAAAAAATAAAAATAATACTTCCTCCAACGACCGTGTGTACCGTCGTGTCGTATCAGCCGAAGGAATGAACCGTGTGTTCTCTGTTTCTGTTGCAGACGTGAGCCCGCATCTGATCTTCAAGAACGGCATGACGCCGACACTCTGGCCCCAAGACGTGCCGTTCCCGCCTGAGGAGGGAAAGGAGGAGGTGGCCTCGACGTTCGGGGACACGGACACACAATCGGGTGCGTTCAGTCCGGCGCCGGACGTGAATTCCATCCAATATCCGGCGTACTTCAAGGATCCGAAGGGCGGTAATCACGCGGTTTTCGGGGCAAGCGGCCCAGGCAGCTTCGGCGCACTCCAATACATCAAGCAACAGGGCGGTATCAAGGGTTGTTTACCGGACGTGATACAGCACGGTCGTTCCGCGGGTATGCCGCTCTACGTGCGTTGCCCGATCTGCCAGAAAGAGTTCAAGCAAAAGTCGACGCTGTTGCAGCACGGTTGTATACACATCGAGTCACGACCGTATCCGTGCCCGGAGTGCGGCAAAAGGTTCAGGCAACAGTCCCATCTGACCCAACACTTGCGTATCCACACGAACGAAAAACCGTACGGTTGCGTGTACTGCGGCCGGAACTTTCGTCAGCGTACGATCCTGAACCAGCACGTACGTATCCATACCGGTGAGAAGCCGTACAAGTGCCAGCAGTGCGGCAAAGATTTCCGTCAAAAAGCGATACTGGACCAGCACACGCGTACCCATCAGGGCGATCGACCGTTCTGTTGTCCGATGCCGAACTGCAGGCGGCGTTTTGCCACCGAACCAGAAGTGAAGAAGCACATCGACAACCATATGAATCCGCATGCGGCGAAGATGCGCCGGAATTCGAGCAGCGACACCAAACCGCCCGGTACACCGGCTGGTCTGGGCCCTGTTCCAGTACCGAGGGGTCTCACGCCTACGGTGGTCAAACCGGAGCTGTATTTCCCGCAGTGTTACGCGCCAGCGTTCAATCATCAACCACCCGTGTCCACGGCCCAGTTCCCGGGTCAGGCGAACGGAGGCGGCGGCGTTGTGTCCGTCGCCGGGGAATTCAAACCGCCGACCGGTGTGTCGGTCGTAAGCGAATTCAAACCGCCGACCGGTCTGCCGCCGCAGTGACTAACCGTCCATCCTGCCGCCTACTAGCAAGCAGGAATACCGCTGAGATTTCAGCGATGCTTCGGTCACGCGTTACAGACCGACGTAACCACCGCCGCCGCTGCCGCAGCAGCCGCCGCTGTCGCGACGTCGGCGTCGAGTATCGCTGTCGCCGCGGCCGCCGCCTCACATCATCGATGCAGCAACAGCCAGCAACCGATCCAGCAGCAACACTACCCGTGACATTCATTATCGTGCATTTACTAGGATCTTTCTTTTCGTTTCGCGTGTTGTCGCCGCTGAATTTCCTCCTCGTTCGTACGCCACGCGGCCCCTCGTTGCGATTGGGGGTCGCCAGCTAGTCCCGAGCTCGACGGTGAATCGGCGCGAAACGAGATTCAGCGTTTCTTACCCAAGAAACGGGCGGTGTCCTTTTCGTCGGGAAGACGAAGAACCCGACGGTGTGCAATAATAATCGTGAAAGGATGGTCACGTACGGTTACCGCCCCTCCCTCGATATATACAGAGTAAATCATCGATGAGTGGTCGAACGCTCCTGGACACTGAGTGTTTAGAAGTCATACTCACCAGTGGTCCAGTCAAGCGCTCAGTGGTAGGGACGACGCCTGAACACTCAGTGCCGAGAAGCCTTCGAACACTCATCGATGATTTACTATGTGTATATACCCTGCTCGGTTATCCTGGTTCGTCACCGGTGTCCGACACGCTTGTCGAGAAGTGTCGCGCGTCTCTAGAGCTGGATCGCGTCCCGCTGTATACACAGCCTTTTACGTAATTAATACGTGTATACCTACGTATGACTATTCTTTTTTGATCGTCTGGTCAGCTCGACTTTTTTTATTGTAGCCAAGATAGTATGGTCCATGAATACAATTGATAGATCGTTCGAGATCTTCAGCAATCGAGAATCGTAACCAAGTGTGAGAGTTTTACTTTCGTCTAGTTACAGTAACCCACAAATTCGTTCACGGACGCGGCTGTTATATTTATTTGACATAATTACGAACCAAACTAGGAATCTTGTTTCAAAATTACGTAAAATTTATCTCGAAGTATAAAAACTATGATATTACATCAGTAGAAGTTTCATAAAAATTTTTGCAATTGTATATTCGAAATATGATCGAATGCATGAGTCACTGTAACATCCTTTGCGTCTTTCACCGTTTGAAAAACTGTGGTTCTGCAGATTGCTGCGAGATGTATACGAGAGAGATTAGAACGAGAAAGGAAGAGCCACGCGATATTTTGTGAGGTAATCTCTCGAACGGTCGATTGATTTTTAGGTGTCTAGACGATAATAGAAATGCGATAGATCACGCGATCCAGCGTCACTACGTGACGGTTCTTCTGTGAGTGGTTAAGGAAGACCAGGAATCAGACCGGTGTAGTCTTCGAGCAACAAGCAACGTCGTAGTTCGTGATTCACCGTCGAGCTCCCCGAACACAGGTCTGGCACCAAACACAGGTGTGGTGACGTGTGTATCCAATCAACGAAGAATCTCGTATATTTCTCCATCCCCTACCCACCCCATGTCCCCTCGCCCACCCACCCATACGTATTTTTTTATATAATAATGAATCGACGACGTATGCGTACTATCTCGCGTTTTGCTTACGTGGAACAAGCACGAATAGCTCGAGAGAATGAGAGAAAGAGTGAGAGTGGGGGAGGGGAGTTTCGATGGTTTTCTCCGGGCAGGCAGGCCGTCCGAGGTGTCGTTTCACACAGCTCATATTTCGGAAAACGTTTGTGTGTCTGTGTTCCACACGTTGTGAGAAGCGTTCGATCTCGACCAGACAACAGCAACAACATCAACCAAACCAACAAACGATTGTGATACGATATTTAACTTGCCTACGTTTTAAAAAGAAAACGAAAGAAAAGAAAATGGGAAACCGGGGAAGAAGATGAACAGAAAAGAGGCAGAGGATACGATCGGAGAAAAGTGATATATATGTACTTGTTCGCCTCGAGAATGGGAAGAGGCGAATACACGACCACGAGAAGAATGCCTGTAAATATATGTAAAGCCGTTCACTTCGTCGGGACGGAACAACAAACAAACATACAAAAAACTGAAACGCCGCGAAAAAGAGCGGCCAAAAAGGGGGAGAGAGAAAGAGTGGAATATACGTGAATGCGTGTACGCGTGAAAGAAAGAAAGAGAGAGAGAGAGAGAGAGAGAGAGAGAGAGAGAGAGAATGCTCAAGCTGAGAGAATGGAAAAGGGAGGAACAGAGGATACACGAGTGGGTAGGATTGCTGGAGGATATACATACGAGAAAGAAGCAAAAAAAAAGAAGACGACAGAAAAGAAGAAGAGGAAGACGATGCAGAGGAGATGGACGAAGACGAGCAAAGAAAAAAACGAGATACGGTAGGGGTAGGTGAGTTGGGGGAAGAAGGATGGGGGATGAAGAAATGAAAAAAGAAAGAGAGAAGGAGGGAAGAAGAAAGATTAGGTAGGATTTACGAGGACGACGCGGCATCTCCCCCAGCCGCGGTGTGCTGAGCCATAGCTTTTCGGTACGTACGAGTTTGACGATGAGGGTGGGGAGAGGGGAGGGATAGTAGCGCGATGAGGAGGAGGAGGTATGACTCTTGTATACTATAGTAATATTTGAATGTATATTTATACGACAGGTTATATATTATTCTATTAATTGTAATGATGATATTTTGAATCGGTTTTAAAATCAGAATTGGTGCTGATACATAATGCTAGGTAACGCGAAACGAAAGAGAGAGGAGGGAACGTGGAAGAAGGCTGAGACACCGTAGACGTAGCGTAAGTAGGGATAGTCGATAGAGGTAGCTCAAGAATGAAAAGAAAACGGACGAGTAAATTCGCGAAGAGGGAACGGGGCTGGGAGGATGAGAATTAAAAAAATGAAAAAGACTTTCTGTGGGGCCCTCGTCGAAGTCCACTCATTCGGAACTTAATAATAATAAATAATAATGAACATTATCAATCGCAGCAGCCCGGTAAACAAATGAAAAAGAAAGAACAGAATGAAAGGAGGAGATATATCGTGGCAATACTTAAAAAACGAGATAAGCGAAAGATACGAGGGAATTTCAACGTACTAGAGAATAGTCTTTATATATTAGGCGTTCTACAATTAGTCTTTTATCATAATTAGACACAGAGATGATCTGAAGATGAAATAATTGTGCGGCCATATTCTCTGTGGCCTGTTCGTAGTGCCTCGGAATTGCTGCTCGCGGCAGTGATTTGACCGTATTTTAGGAAGGTATATTATTAATAATTATATTGAGAACTGCAATTATCGATACTCTGATACAAGTACTAAAATGAAACGAAGAGCAAGAAAGAAACGTGTGGGGTAGTTCGCGCGAGAGAGAAAGAGAGAAAACAGAACAAAAGAGAATATTAAATGAGATAGAGGGATGGGAGATCGTGTCGTCAGACGTCACGTTAATCGACTTCATTATTTAATTATTAGAGGTTTACTTATTATATCGCGTTTACACGAAACAAACGACAACAAAAAAATGAATACAAGAAGGGAGAAAAAGGCCGAAGAGAAAATGCAAGGACGTGCAGAAGCGTGTGCGCCGGAAATCGCGAAGAAGGACCGGCCGACGATGTGATCGTTTGCCGATATTCGTTGTCGACGTTATTTTTTATTATCTCGTTCCTTTGTCTTCTTTCATTCCCGTTCGCTTGTGCGCGTACACGCGAAGAAAAATCAAAATGAAAGAGAACGACGGTTCCTTCGGTTCTCAATTATTTCCGAGTAATGTTATCCCCCCTCCTCCACGATGGTTTTATTATCTCTTTTGATGAATCTCGATCTAATCGAATCTTCATCGCATTTTCCCGGTTACTTTTCACGATATTATTTAATTCTTCCTTTCTAGTAGGATAATATCGCTGCTGGTTAAATTATCACCATTGCGCAAAATACTAGATAATCGCTCGCGGATATTTCCAGATATCCCGAATATCTCTCACTTTTTTTTTATCCACCGCGTGTTTTAATTCACGCCCGTCGAAAAATACGCGTCGCGCCCGCGCGAAAACAATAATTCAATCCCTACCCCCCACCCCCGGTCAGAACGACAGAACATGTGAAACACGTAACTCGCCAATGAAATAATAATTGGTCTATTATGCTCGTCGCTCGCCGACGGTCGAATATGTCGGCGTGTTCCATTCCGAGACAATCATTCATTCGTTGATATTCGTGCATTAACGATCCACGGCACATTAAAATATCTTTAGCGATCGATGTCCAAGTACTACCGTATACGATTTAAAGAAAACTTTTTGAAACCTGTCGAGGATCGTTAAAACCTCGCACCGATAAAAAGAGAAATAATTCGATCGTCTGAAAACAATCTATTCTCAGAACTCCTCCATCGATATGCGAATACTTTTTATTTTCTTCCCCTTTTTTTTACAACGAATGTTACAAAATTCAAGTTCTCCCGTGTTATACATCGTATTTCTCTTTTCCGCCATTTATCGCCCGGAAAAACCAGACGGAAACGCGAAATAGTAATAATAGGATTCTTCTGGCACACGTTTCAGTTGAAGCACGCAGGTGAGAACGCACACCTTACGGGGCGCGGTGGTGAAATATTCCGCGTATCGGTGGAAAACAATTTCCCCAGAAGTTTCGCGGTAATAATACCCGAGGACAAATTGTATATCCAAAAGGAATGGTGGGGAGGTGCAGAATCTTTTAGACCGTGGACGGTGGTAAACCCGGGTTGAGAATGACAATGAAAATAGTCCCGCGACCTCTCTGGGGTCTTATCCGTGGGCACCCGGTGAAATAATAAAGGGAATATTTATGCGCAGAACAGGGTGGGTGAGATCAGAATTCTTTTCGGTACGGACGAGAACCCGGTGAACTTTCGGTATTTCAATTCGAAACTAAAATACTCTCTTAAAAAGACGGTGTTCCGTTTTTCCTATTTTTTCCGCGTTGTTGCATTCGGTGTGTGGGGTTCAAACCATTATTAACCGCCGCGAGGGAACAGGAGATTCGAAAATCGTTTTTTATCGATCGATCGTTTACTGGGAGGACCAGCTGGGGAACGGGCTCTCCATCGAGAAATCCGTCG